GCAATAGCGCGGCATACCGTACCACGCCCTAATTACAATTCACATTTTATTAAATAAACAAACAACTACTTATTTGCGGAAACTCGCGCATGTCAATTCCTTTATTATAAATTATTGTGCAACGTTGGGTATAACTCTCAAGTTTGTATCTTTATTTTCAATATATAATTAACAATAAACGCACAACGGAGAAAGATACAACAATGATTCTTTCACTAAACAATAGAGGAGAATTATCCCTAACGTTCTATAAAGCATAGAAAGCGAAATTATTAATATAAATATCTTTTTTATGAACATTGTAAAATTGCGATCACGAAGCATGACGCCATCCGATACCCCCTTCCAAGCGTAGCGTGGGCGGAAGCGTTTTCCGCGAATCTTCCCACCTATCGAGCGATCGAGGTAGGAAATCATAGTATAAAAGGAGCCGCCGGGCGCTCCAGCGTTAGGTACGCGGAGGAATTTAATTAGTATTGTTCGACTTTCCGTGAAGCCCTGGCTTCCGAGTTAGCCGAGCAATTTGAAAACATAGTGCGCGTCTTGATTTGATTACTGTATAGTACAGTCTGTTTCTTAACTTATCGTAGTTACGCGAGCATTTGTACTGTGTTCCATCTGCAAGCGAGCTGCGAGCGACTTTTGAATCATCCACTGGGCCGAGGCATCAGGTGGACTTAGGCGATTTATTTCTGCGACTCTGTTACTTGTAAGTTGTTTATGCACGCGTTCACTGTAGATCCTCCCTGCCTCATTATTTAATCATTATTTAATCTCATTATTTAATTACCCTATATTTAATCTTTGTATTTTATTATATCTTATTCTGACTATAACTCTTGACTATTTTAATTCAATACACTCCTGTCAAACGATCAATCAATCAATAGAATTATTATTCGACTGCGTGAATCTTAACTATAATTGACGCATGTATGTCATTACTATATTTTTCTTGTGTTTAATTCTGAAATAAACTTTGAAAACTTTGAACCCTTCCTTTTATTTTCGATTATAACCTATACCTTATACTTGTGTGTGATTTCAATCTGTACAATCTGTGAACTAGTGAAGTGATTTCCTGTACGCGGAAGCATTGTTCAAAGACGGTGGTCCGTGACAGTGACACTTCACCTTTGTTTCGAAATCGCGAGTGACACTCACGATTTTCTGACCTTTGTGCTTAACGTCAAATTTGTCTGCCTACGGAATACTCCATACGGGTGCACAGTGCTACGTGTATGCGGGTGCGGTCCCCGTCGAGTTCCGTACGAGTAGGCATTTCGTGACTCTTTTCGCTAACTATCCTTTGTGATTGTGGTGCGTTTTGTAACGAGCAGGCTGCAATATAGGAACGTGAGCATTGGCCAAGCCATCAATCGTTCCCTTTGCGCGGCTAGTGAGTTTTGAACAAACCATCTACACGGACGTGTTAGAATTGGTTACCAACCATCAACCGTCTGTGTCGAGTAGCTTGTCGACGGACTTGTCAAATTGGGAAACCTTCGACAGTCCGCTTCAAGTGACCTTTCATCCTAATTACTATTTTCTCTTCATTTCTTTCTTTCTTTCTCTCTGTGAACGAAGTATGGATCTGTCAGAATTGGCGTAGCCATCGACGATCCGCTTCTCTTGTCATTTACTATCTTTTGCTATATCTTTCTCTCTGTATAACCTTACTCCCTTAATTTAGGTGCGGGTAAGTTTAATAGTATTTGTTTTTCGTTTTTATATATTCAGGTGTTGGGAAACTTAGAATAACATCTCGTATTAATTTGAATAATCGAGACTTCGACTTTGACGACGAATTGTTTCAAACTTTGCAACTTGAAGGCCTATCTGATCCCACACTTATTCAATAATGTTCTGTAAATCATTGCATCATGAAAAATCGAATACTCAATATGTACTGATTTTATAAAAAATAAAAACTCTGTATAATTCTAAATCTGTCTAAACTAACTGAAGAAGTCTTGTGGATAACATATCCCGTAGCGATATATTACCGACGGAAGAAACCTTGTGGATAACATATCCAATAACGATATATTACCAACGAACGATCGATATATTATCGACGGTAGAACACATTCAATTGTGGACATTCAAGTAGCCATCGGACATTTAACACCGATTGGTCAAAGTTTGTTCCATCAATTGATTGTGAAATTAGATAAATAAAATAAAATATTCTTCAATTTTCGAAATACCCTAATTCAAATAAAGGAATTATTACTGGGTTTAGTATTTATTCACCTCCTCAATCCCTTCGTCTCAGATCGTCTCTAGCTCTCGCACCCCTGGGTATTGCCGCATAGGTAGCCCTTAAATATCGAGAGCACCCGTCTCTTTGGAGCCGAGGCATCCACTGAGAAGGTAAGTCCTTCACGTTGAAATTTAGAAGGATTGTCTTGGAAGTAATGTAAGAATAAATGGTTGCAGCAGTTTCTTAATTATTTTAACTAATTCATTTGTGATTTCTTCAGTCCGCTCAACCAGAATTGACAATAATTTCAATTATTATTTTTAATCTTTGATAAACAAATATTTGAGAAGCAATCCTTTTGAGACGTAACAAATTGCTCTAAAATATAATTTGATCATACAAAAAATTTCACAAATTTAAAAAAGGCACACAAATTTTTATTATATTTTGTCTGTTTGTAATAAAAAAACATTCTAAATAAAATTATAAAATAATACTTCTACATACATTAATAATATTTATGTTCTTAATGTATTTAACCGCAATTTATATATACTTATTAAAATAAGAAATAAAACAATCTTACTTTTAATAAATTTTTTCATTGCATATCTATTTTGATAATATTTTTACAAAATTTAATATGACAAATGTTTAAAATTTATAATTAAATTATAAAAATTTTAAATATATTATTTTTGTAATATATGACAATTATGACAATTATAAATGCTTCTTTTTTTAAGATTAATACCAGTTAACCATATTATTCTTATTTCTAAATTTTGTCGTTAAAATCGCAACTGATATCTTTTAAATTTATTATATTATTTATGTAACCTATATGTATACAAAGTTTCATTAAAATCAGAATATGACACTTCCTTTGTTAGTTTTCAAAATTGTGAAAAATGTACTTCTGGTGGCCATCCTGAACGTTTTCTGTCAATATACCTTCTGATATCAATGTTTATGTTATTTCAGGCTGTGTTTGAAGTTCTTTATACTCCAGATGAGGATAAGATAGAAGATGAATGGGAGATAGAAGATGGTGTTAATGAGAATAATTTAATAGACGATTTCCACTACCATCTTAATGAAATACAAAATGATGAAGATAGTAATCAGCTCGATGAAAATCATAGGAACGATAGTAACAATAATATATCAACTTCGCTTCGTAATTTGTTAGCATGTAATGACATTTTTGAAATTATTAATGTAGATATTAATATAAGTAAAGCAGAAATACTTTTATTAATTTTAAAATTTTCTTTGGAACACAATCTATCACAATTAGCAACATCACATCTTTTTCAAATAATAAATTCCTTTTTCAAAACAGATATTCTTCCAAGCTCGCGTTACTTGATTGATAAATTGTTCAATAAATCGGATAATATTCAATTTCATGCTTTATGTCAAACATGTTCCTCATATTTAAGAGTATTTGAACGACATTTATCAAATTCTCAAAACATTTTATGTAAAATTTGCCAAACTGCTGTTTCAGTACATGATTCAAACTATAAAGATTTTTTTGTCACCTTAAATCCATCAAATGAAATAAAAACGTTATTAGAATCAAATGATAAGTATTATAATTATATTATTAACGAAAGAATTTACGAAAATGGAATTTATAAAGATATTTATGATGGTAAAGAGTATCGAAAATTGGTGAGCTCTGTACAAAATGATTCGGAACATTCATATGCTACCGTCACGTTCAACTCTGATGGATCACCCGTTTTTGAAAGTTCTTCTTATTCTATTTGGCCAATTCAAATAATGATCAACGAAATACCTTTTGAGGTGAGAACAAAAAAAGTTATTGTATGTGGTTTATGGTTTGGAAAAAAAAAACCTAACATGAATCTTTTTCTTCAACCCTTTGTTGACGATATGAATGTTTTAAGTAATTCTGGAATTGTATGCAATATATTAGGTATTCAAAAATGTATTAAAATTTATTGTACCATTTGCTGCGTCGATTCTATAACACGCGCACCCATGCAAGGTTTGACCCAATTTAATGGGCGTTTCGGATGTAATTGGTGTTTACATCCGGGTGAATGGGTGATTAATAATAAAAATAACAAAAATATTACTAAAAATAACAACGGTAGTATGAAGTATCCTTTATTAAGTAAAATACCTAAAAAAAGAGTTGAACAACAGTTTCTAAAATATATGCAAGAGAGTTTTGATATTGGTAAACCAGTCTATGGCGTAAAAGATACTACGCCTTTGATCAATTTAGAGAAGTTTAATATAATATCTGGTTTTGTACCAGATCCTTTGCATTGTGTTTGTTTAGGCGTTGGAAAACAATTTACGGAAATATTTATAAAATCGCTATCTCCATCACAAATAGATAAAATTGATCAGATATTAATAAATCTAAAATATCCGCATGCACTTTCTCACTTATCCCGATCACTAAAGGAACGAAATTATTGGAAATCAAAAGATTGGGAGAATTGGATTTTATATTCCAGCGTTTCAATTTTACAAGTAGTTTTAGAAAAAAAATATTTATTGCATTGGGTTAATTTTGTAGAAGGTATACATTTATTATCACAAACGAGTACTGAAAAATTAGAAATTAAAAAGGCTGATTATCTATTAAAACAATTTGTTGCGGATATTGAAGTTCTTTATTCGAAATCTGTTATGACATATAATGTTCATCAACATATTTCTTAAAGCGTTATAGACTGGGGGCCAATATGGGCACATTCAGGATATACATTTGAATCGGGAAATGGTGAACTACTGACATTTATTCAAGCTGCAAAAGGGGTAGTACACCAAATTACTAGATGTATTGCAATCCGTCAAAATGAAACGTATTTAAAAGCTTGTATTTTTGAAAAATCAAAGAAAATTTTAAAAGTTTATGAGTGTGTGACTACTAAACATATCAAAAAAACTCTAAAACCATCTTCGATAAGATATTACGGTGTACCTATTCATTTAGCATCTGTTTCAAAATGGAAGGATAAATTAAATCTATCATGTGATGTTGTTATGTAAAACAATAACTAAAGATATGTGCTTATATTTATCAATGAAAATTAATAAACGATCTAATAATAGTTTTGCAATAACAAATGATAAATTGTTTATACAAATTGAATATTTTTTATTTGATGAGCAAACAAAAAATGAATATACAATTTGTTTAGTACTAAAGCGATGCGCTCGCTCTATCTCGATCTCGCGCAGCGGGTCTCCTTTTCACGATCTCGTCACGCGTCATATTCGTGATTGTTCGGCGACTGTCGCGATCTCGGCCCTTTTCGCCAATTTCCGGCCCCCCTTCGGTATCGATCGCGCCCGCGTGCGATCCCGCCAACAGACGATCTCGACCCTCGCGAGCGTTCTCACGCTTGGTCACCTCGTGCGTTTTCTATAACCTCGTGCGTACATTAATCAGTAATAAAGTGTTGTGTTAATTAATATAATACATCCACGAGTTCTCTTTTCTCCATCTACCGAGAAACACCCAAATACAGAGGGATACATAACCCTCGACCGCGTCACCGAATCGAGATCATACCGGGGGCACAAGCGGAAGGCACAAGCCATTACAACGAAACACAATTTGTAGATCAATTACTGTAGAAAATGCATTACACAGTAAATTTATATTTTTAAAAAAAATTTTGAAAATTAGCAGAAATTTAATTGCGATTAAGACAACAGATATTGCAAAAATATGCGTTATTCTTAAAATACATAATAACAATAATAAACAGTTATATCTTTGTGTTACTCCAAATATATTTATAAGTTAACATAAAATACATAAAAAAGACATTTGACATCTATTAAATTTTCAAAATATTTTATGTAAAATATTTGTTATGCAAATACAGTTTCTTTACAAAATCTTACAAGACAAGTATCAATTTCTATATAGATATCCGCATAGAAATTTGCATAAGAATCTATATAGTATATAAAAATCTATGTATATAGATTTCAGTATAGATTTTCAATATTAAGATTTCATATAAATTCTCACATAATTTCCCGAATTTCCATTAAATATCTTATATAAATTTTTACACACACACGCACGCACGCACGCACGCACGCACGCACGCACGCACGCACGCACGCACGCACGCACGCACGCACGCACGCACGCACGCACGCACGCACGCACGCACGCACGCACGCACGCACGCACGCACGCACGCACGCACGCACGCACGCACGCACGCACGCAC